ATGGAAGCCACTGTCCACAGAATGCATGGAATGGCTCGAGACAAAGCCTGCGAGGTCCGTGGCATTCGTCTCGTTCGGTTCCATGGCTCTGATCTCAGAAAAGCAAATGGAGGAAATAGCATTAGGGTTAGAAAAAAGTGGACTGTACTTCCTATGGGTGATCAAAGATGCCCAGATCGCGAAGCTTCCAAAGGAGTTGTTAGAATCGATAAAAGACAGAGCTTTGATGGTGCCGTGGTGCAACCAGCTCGAGGTTCTGGGTCATGGAGCAGTGGGTTGCTTTCTGACGCACTGCGGATGGAACTCGACGCTCGAGGGGCTGAGCCTTGGGGTTCCCATGGTGGGTTTGCCGCAATGGAGCGATCAATTCTGCGACGCGAAACTCGTGGAGGAGATCTGGAAAATTGGGATATGGGCAAAGGAAAGCGAAGGGATAGTGAGTGGTGAGGAGATCGCGAGATGTTTGAGAGAAGTGGCTGAGGGAGAGAGGAGCAGAGAGATTAGGGAGAACGCGAGGAAATGGAGAGAGTTGGCCAAGGAAGCCATTAACGAGGGTGGAAGCTCTGACAAGTGTATCGAACTATTCATACAGTCTTTAGCTTCTGCTTGATATTTATTCAATCATTTTTATATGGTTGAAAAAGAAAATGAGTTGAGTGGGTTTTTAAGAAGTGAAATTGGTTCTAAATTCTGTTTCTCCAACGAAAATTTCATTTAGTGCCGATTGCCGCCTTGAGCATTTGAAGAGAAAGATCACACTGAAGAAAGAATTGGGGTTTTGGTTTACACGTTACAAAAGGGAAATTTGTTGCAAAAGTCCCACATCGGAAAAGACGTAGGGGCAGCTACCAGAAACTCTATTATAAAATGACGTCTCACTCCAGCTTCTCAAACTACGGAGCCATGCGGTGAGCACAAAGCGAACTATTCTTTCGCCTTTTACTAAAGAATACCGTGTGCTCGCCGCGCTAAGTGGCATACGCCTATTTTTGGAGGGGCACTGCCTTCTGGTGGACCCCACAAAATACTTTTAGAAATTAATTATTTTAGCTTAATTAAAGATTTGGTCGCTAACTTGCTTTGGTGAATCACCCAACGCAATAATTTTGGTTCTCACCCTCATCCGTATTTTTTACATAATGAATCCAATTGTGTTCTCAAATGTCAATTTTACCCCTGGACCTGAGCACAATGATACATTACATCACCAGAAAAAAGATAGAAATATATTCAAAGGAGAAAACGTACTACAAAGAAAAAGATTTTGGTTTTCATGTGGGATGTTGGATCATATATCATTCGCCATTGGAGGTTGAAGCTTTGGCGGCATACTTGGATAGAACGCCTGTCAGGACAGCCTTCTCCTTCACCCTTAACCTGAACCACCAAGAAAATACAGCGAAGAGATTATCTAACTGTAGTTAAATGTCTTCATCAGTGGTATTAGTTACCAAGTATTATAGTGACAGGGACATGTTTAACAAAAATTTCTGCAACTTTACCTCTTTGAAGATCCCGGAATTTCCAACTTCTTGACCTTCTTCGCTTGCCCTTTAGCAAGAACCTTCTTTTTAGCCCTCTTCTTTTTTCCATCTTTATCTTGTTTATGTTCTTCTGTCTCATCAGAGTCGGCTCCGTTCCACAGTTTTCCTTTGGAGAGAAGCTTCCGCTCCAACTGCCTGATTCTGGTTAGTCCTTCTTCTGAAGAAGAATCTGGTAAACTTTTCGGTTGTCCTGCAGCTTCGGGATTCTCTTCCATATCTTCCACATCAAGCTGATCATCCAGCTTTGCCTCTGCTACGGTTTGGAATGAGATCTTGCTGGAGGTCCTGCGGCGGCGATGGAGGGAAGATTCGGTGAAGAACATGATCATGTCTTGATGACCATGATTGCGGAAGTCATCGTACTTTTATGTAATCATGTTCATAATCCCATTTTCCCTAGCTGGGATCTCATCCGTTTGTTCTGGGGACTTCAAGTGAATCTCCGGATCATGCCTCGGTTCTTTAGGAGTTGCTCGGCTGCTATAGACAAGATTCTGTCTAGCATCTTCAGTTTTTGTGTCTTCTAGATCCCTGGTCGAATAACCAGACTCATCAGATTCAACCTGTGTTGTATCCAAGAATGCATCTTCCACTACAAAATCAGAATTTGATACTGCTTCTTCCAAGTCGGTGTCCGGAAGTTCTTGCTCATCTTCTGAGGATTCTTGATCAGAGCCTGATGTGCTTGAAGAAGAATTCAAAACCGTACATTTTATTTGCTTCTGAACCTTGCCAAACAATATTCTCTGTCCGGAGAAAAGATCGACAAACCTGGAAAAGGCGGGAATTTTTTACTCAAGGGAAAAAAATCAGTGAACAAACAAAGGTACATTACCAACAGTCTAATACCTGACAGCATCAGTATCAGTTCTGAAATCGACAAAGGCAAACCCCTTGCAGACAGGATCTCTAGTCTTCTTATTTCCAGATACAGATGGGATTATGTCTAAGATACCAGAAACCCCTTTGAAAGCAGACTTAAGATCTTTGTGAACGTTCTTCTTCTTTGGAAGATTGGACACACACACGCGAATCCCAGTTTCAACATCCTCATCTCCTTCTCAAGAAATACAATGTAACATCTAAATCAGATTCCAGCTTAATCATCACTCAGGCATTAGAACAGGAATCAAAAAACAAAATCCGGTAACAACCAAAGGATGACACTTTCACGACGTCTCAGCAAATGCTGCACAAAATCCAGAATTGCACAGGAAAAGTCGAGAAAAGGGCTAACCTTTGGTGTTCTTGTTGCCGCGCTTAGGCTGTGCCTTTATAGGCTCGTTCTTGAGCTTGTTGATATTAGCAGCTTGAGCCTTCCAGCTTTGCTCAATTTCGTCGAGCAGCTTATCTTCAACGGAAGTATCATACACTTTCCCTTCTCCAAATCCGCGAGGCTTGCTCTCCAACCACTTCTTCATCTTCTCCAATGGCAGAAGCACCCCTTCATCGTCTTCTCCGTCCCCGGCAACATCGTAACTATCCCAATCCTCGTCCTCCTCCTCATCTTCGCCACCTTCTACAACCTCGCCGAAGCCATTCGACTCCATCAGACCGCCGCGCCCATCTCTCCGGTTCTTTACGACGAAAGATCGAAACCCATCATCCCTTTTCTCGACAAGTGCTTGAGCCTTCAAAAGGGTCTGTCGGGAACGAGGGACAAGGGAGGTACACGTAGAGGTCGCGGAGCATACAGATGCGAAAAAGCGCAATTTCTGAGAGCAAGAAAGAGGATGAGAAGAGCAGGAACGGATCGAAATGGAATTGCAGAGAGAAATCCCACTCATGCTTGACTCTTTATCCTCTTCTCCACCTTCGTCTCTCTGAAGAAGCGCAAACAAAGAGAGCTCGTTTTCGATTGTGAGCCCAATCGAAGTAGTTGATGCTGGAAGGTATTAAAATAAAGGAAAAATGTTCAAACGTGTAGTTCGCAATCACATCAGTCTGGGCCTAGGTAACGCCCCATTCCTTTCACCTTTTGAATTTATTAACTGATGGGCCGATTGGCGACCCATGCAAAGCCCATTTATTAGCTGCTTACATTTTGTTTACGAACATCGGGGGCCTCTTTATTACGTCATATAGACAGTTTTTTTTCCGTAATTGCCGTGAAACAAAGAAATTTATTAGGAAAAAACTGTCTATATGACGTAATAAAGAAATTAAATATGTATTTTTTTTCTTTCGCCAACTCAGTATGCATTCAACCTTTTTCAACAAATATATATTGTGTATGGATGATTACACTATATTGGATTCACAAATTTATTATAGTTTGTGGAGCTTTAAGTTTTATAAACGATTTAAGTTTTACAGTATAAATTTATTTATTTTTTATTATAGTTAAAAAGTAATTATTAATTCTATAAAAGCTTTTCTGACTATCTGCTTTCTTATTCAAAAAATTAAACGTGTATGCATATATCCGATTTATATGTTCTATTTTATTATTTTTCATCTGTTAGGCTGATTTATAGGTTATATGTATTTAAATTTATGGTGCTTTTGTCCATCGATGGTTACTATCTTAGAATTAATAATTACTTTTTAAATTTATTTCTTATTTTCTACGATTAGGTAGACACGTCTAAACCCATGGTCACGTTATTGATGAAGAGTTAGAAACTTTTATAGGGATTATTATATAGAAAACAACGGTTAGTGGCACAGTGATGCTTGAATAAAAATGCCAAAACGGGTTGGTCCAAATGGCTTACGTGTCGCATTCTGAGGGGGCATTATCCAAAATACCCTCCATTTGCTAAAACTACTTCTACACCTACCCTTGTGACCATGTGACCAATGTGACCGAAATATAGTATGATCACATTTTGATTTTTATCGATTATAACGTTAAATTTATGGTGATCACACTAATTCATTATGTTCATACCTTGTATATCTTACTAATCATTTGATTAAAACATCATAAATTTAACGTTATGAACAATGAGATCAAAATGTGACCATACTATATTTCGATCACATTGGTCACATGGTCACAAGGGTAGGTGTAGAAGTAGTTTTAGCAAATGGAGGGTATTTTGGATATTATTCCCATTCTGAGGGGTTAGCGTGGCATGGCACAGCACACAATGACACGGGGGCACAAAAAATTGATTATTGATTAGCCATCACAAATGACAATTATGCCCCGCCATTTTGAATGAAAAGCTCTCATGTATCCCATCCCACCTTAGGGTATTTCCGTAATCTCAAGACTTGCTGCTCCCACCGCACAAACATAATAATAAAACAACAAAACCATATTTTTCAATAATTTCATAACAGTTGTTTTTTTTTTTGGGTTGAATGTGATTTATATTATATACCCAAAAAATTACAACCAGTCATAAGAATGAAGAAGTGGTCAAAATAATTCCTCAAAAGACATCATTCAATTGTTCTTAGTTGCGAATATTCATTGTAAGAAAATACCAATCTGAGAGCATATATACTCCATCATCATTCGACTTCCTCGTAAGAGAGAGCAGCTTTGTCCGCATGATACGATCCACCTTCCACCTCGTGTACTCCATCGATTTCCGCTGGCTTCGGAATATTCGGTTGTTTCTCTCCTTCCACAAGGTGTAAGCTGTCACCTGCAAAAGAATCTTGGCAATCTGCTTCCTATTGTGGTTAACATCATTCGCCGGGTTGTTGATCCATTCTGAGCATTGTAGCGTGTTAATCGGTGGGTTCGGCCAACAAAGACATGCATAATAACTCCATACTGCAGCGCTGTAGCGGCATTCGAAGAATAAGTGATTATGTGACTCATCTTCTGCATCACACAATCCACAAGTCATGACGGAAGCTACTCCCCAACGCATCAGTCGGTCCTTCGTCGGAAGTCTGACATGCATCACCTGCCACATAAATATCGCCATCCTGGGAGTGCTTTGCTTAAACCATACGGTGGAATGCCAAGGAACCGTCTCATGTGGGTTTCTAATGAAATTCCAGGTCCTGGCTGTGCTAAATGAGCTCCTATAATCATCCTCTGCATACTTCCACAAGGCTTGGTCTTCGGTTCCATTCTCTGATGGCGGCACTATGGTAGACAAGTGGGTAAGAACCTCTTGTAGTATGTCCGATCGAACAGCCGGTAAGGTCCAGGCACTGTCGCGTACTGCTTCGCTAACTGTCGAGAGTGAAGGTAGTCTAAGGCTGCGTGGTCCCGCTTCACCAACAAATCTTATCAACGGTCCCAGTGTTGTCCAAGGATCATGCCAAAATAATGCCGTCTTCCCATTTCCAAGCCGATATCTCATAAATGTAATTGCCTTTTCCTTTAGTCCTAACAGTTTTCGCAGATTCCATGAGAAACTAGGCGAAGGAGTAGTGTTCCAAAAACCTTTTGACTTGAAGATGTTTGAACGTATCCAAGCAACCCATATTGAACCTGCTTTTGCAAACAAAATCCATATGAGCTTCAAACGAAAAATCAGATTGTAATCAGCAACGGTCCGGAGCCCCAGCCCCCCTTCCTTGCGCGGTTGGCAGACTTGTATCCAAGAGATACGATGGGCTCTTTGACTCGAGGAATTTCCAGACCACAAAAACCCAGAACATAAGCTGTCAACTTGCTTAAGAAAGAATTTTGGCAGTAAAAAAACCATAGCCCAAGCATTGATCAATCCGTAGATGACGGAGCTAACTAGTTGGACTCTTCCAGCATACGAGAGTTGCTTAGTGGTCCAGGAATTTAGCTTCGCTTTAATTCTGTCCAACAAGGGTTGATAATCGGTTTTTCCAAGTCTAGAATGGCTCAAGGGGACCCCCAAGTATCTAACTGGCAAGGAGCCTCTCTGAATCCCAATGGCAGTGCTCAAAGTTGATGCTTCAATGTCAGTCATCCCGCCAAGAAAAATCTCTGTTTTCCCCAAGTTCAAGTGTAGGCCTGAATATTTGCTGAAATTTGCGAGAATCTCCTTTACTTCAAGCAGCGAGTGGAGATCTCCGTGTGTAAAGACCATAACGTCATCCGCGAAAGTGAGGTGGGTTATGGTTGGAGTTTTGCATTTATGATGCAGCCTTATCCTTTGTTCTGAAGCCCCTCGATCAATCATTCTTGATAATACCTCCATAGACAGTATGAATAGATAGGGGGAAATTGGATCCCCTTGTCTAAGTCCGCGCCTACCCTTGAAGAAGCCCGCTAATTCGCCATTCACTGAAATAGAGAATTTAGGAGTCTGCATGCAGGTCGTAATCCATCTCACAAAGTTGCTTGGCAGATTTAATGCTTTCAATATCCTTTCAACAAATTCCCAACTTAATGTGTCAAAAGCTTTCCGTAAGTCTAGTTTTAACATTGCCTTCTTCGTTGAACTCGGCCTATTGTAGTCTCTGACAAGTTCAGTTGCCAGCAAGATATTCTCCACCATCAATCTACCTTTGAGGAACGCACCTTGGTTAGGGGAAATAATTCCTTGCAAGATGAGCTTAAGCTTCCTGGCTAATAGGACTGATATTAGCTTGTATATTGTGTTACAACAACTGATCGGGCGGTAATCAGCTAGTGCAACCGCTCCCGGTTTCTTCGGAACAAGTGATATTATCGTTGAATTGAGTTGTCCCAATAGTATTCCTGTTCGGAAGAACTCCTGCACTGCACCAATTAGGTCGTTACCTGTGAGTTCCCAAGTCTTCACGAAGAATTCCTTTGGGTAACCATCCGGCCCTGGAGCCTTATTGTCTGCCATCCCAAAGAGAGCTTGTTTAATGTCATCTGCACTTGGTATTCTGATTAGTTCAGCAACATCTTCTGGCGAGCAGGAATAGGGCATGAGTTGTCTCAACCATTCAACTGATGGAACCTCTACATTGTTGTCACGGGTGCCAATTAATCTGGTAAAGAAGGCCTCGGCATGTCGCTTGATATCTGTAGGGGATTGTAGCCTCTGACCATCCTGATCCTCTAAGAAATAAATATGATTCTTTGTCGTCCTTCCCTTGACAACCTTATGAAAAAACCTGGTATTTTTGTCGCCCATTGCCAACCAATTCAGTCGTGATTTCTGCCTGAAGAAGGATTCCTCAGCTGCCACCAACATAACCCACTTTGCTCTTATGGTTTGCTCTTCTGCCACATGTTCGGGGGAAGGGTTTTCAAATAGCCTTTGCTGGATAAGCTTTAGTTCCTCTGTAAGCCCTTTTACCCTCTGCGTAATCCCACTGAAATTGTTCTTGTTCATTGCTCTCAGCGGTCCTTTCAAAGCTTTCAAGGTTTTGCAAATTCCGAACTGCCTTGAACCTTCCCATTCAGAGACATTCCAACAGTCACGAATGACCTGCAGGAAGTTAGGATGAAGACTAACATGATGAAAGAACTTGAAAGGTCTGCATACCTTTGTCACTATTGATGGCATATGCAGAATAATAGGCGAATGGTCAGATGGGCCTGGTGCAACAAATTCAGCATAAGCATCGGGAAATGCCTCTTGCCATGAATCATTTCCCATTGCTCGGTCCAATTTCACAGCAAGCGGGTGACTGCTACTCTTATTACACCAAGTGAAGTGAAATCCCTTGTATGGGATATCGAATATCTCAGACTGTGTTATACAAGCCTCAAAATCTGTCATGCCTTGTCCAAGTGACAAGTTCGCTGGGTAGTCAGAACGCTCCATCGGCTGCAGTATTTGATTGAAATCTCCTAGGATGATCCAAGGTGAATTCCTGACTGGCTGATATCCCGCGAGTGTAGTTAACTCCTGCCAAAGATATCTTCTGTCTTGTGCTTGGTTGTGTGCATAAACCAGTGTTGCCGTAAAAGACGTGTTCCCCTCTGGATACAGAACCCCAAAAGTGATTGTCTGCTGCGTTTCATTGTAGATTGTTACCATAGTTGATGGGTCCAAGACGAGCCAGATTCTCCCCGAGTCATCATGCTCATAGTTGCAGTAGAATTTCCAGCTTGGTGGAATAGCTGCTATTATTCTATACTTGTTTGTTTCTCGAATGTGAGTCTCAAGAAGCCCTCCAATTCGCAACGTACTTTCCAAAATCCACTTGCGTACAAAATTCTGTTTATGCCGACCATTTAGGCCCCGTGTATTCCACGCAAAAAACATGGGTTCCGCTTTGATTTAGTTGTTCTTCGTGGCCTTGCGGCCACGCCTTCTCGATTTTCCTTTCCCAGTGCCTGAACTATTTATTTTATGTGACACTGAATCTCTTTCCTTTCCAGCGGTCAGATTGGCTGGTTGCATGGGGTGTTGTTCCTGTTGCTTAACTGTACTTGCTGCTGGAATAGTCTCAATCTGATTAGTTTTGGTAGCTGAACCAGATGGCTCAATTATCAGTGGCATCTCTACTGGAGAGATTGGCTGTGTGGCAGCATTGTCGGGATCGGGCCTGGATGTTCCTTCCACAGTGTGAGCCAGAGAGCTACCTGGTTGGGTAGAGATGTCACTAGGCAACTTCAGACTGGTCACTTGACTGGTCAGCTTCTCTGCCTCTACACTCCCCTTGACAGTAGAATGATCAATCGTTGGGTTAGGGAGAGTGTAATCAGAAGATCCATACATCGTCGTGTCAATAGATGGCTGCTTATTGGGACAATGTTTTGCGTTGTGCCCGACCTGTCCACATGTGCTGCATTGTGGCGGTATCCAGACGTAAGAGACTGTCACAGTGTGCTCCGTGCCATCTGGTAGATTCACTGCGAGGCGACTAGGTAAGGGGTACCGAAGCAGGACATCAATATAGACTCTCGCAACAGAGACATTATCCTTCTCGGCGGTGGCATGATCTAGATAAATCGGATTACCGATACCCGTGGCAATACGACTGATACTGTCAGAATTATACAACCTCTGAGGCAGATTCCGAAGGGATACCCATGTTGACACCGAACGCATAGGAGGCTTGTCCGGGTTATGGTAAGGATTCCATGTTGTGACAAACATCGGACATTGTCCGATATACCAGAATTGTCGAGCAAGGATAAGGTTCCTGGTGTTCTCGTTCTGGACTTTGAATAAGTATGTTCCATTGCCAATGTCTTGGACTCGAATTCTATTCCCTCCACGAGACCACAGACCATTAACAACTCCGATAATACGTCCCATTGGAGGAGGCAAACCGTAAAACTGGGCAATCAAGAAATCTTTCCACTCATCTACGGCCTGAGAGATGGACTCCTCTGGGATTGTGATTAAAGGAATGCCCGATACATGTGTGCCTGGAGTTCCAACACGCTTCAGGGAGCGTTTGTCTGGGAATAAGCGCTTGCTCCATGTAGAAGGTCCACGTGATGGAGCAACTCGCTGCTTCCCGCTTACCTCGGAAGGTTGAGGAGCGGTCTTAGTTACTGGTTCAACAGTTGGAGTCACGCGTTGTTCCCCTTGTGTTGTTTTTTTACTCTCTGTGGAAGGAAGGAGAGGAGAGAGAGATTGGCTTCTACGTACAGGCGAGTGGGAGTGACGGTGTGACCGCGCTTCCCCCTCACATGGATTAGGGTTTCCAGACAGATATTGGTTTGTCTGCTGTAGCGGAAAAGAAGGTGAAGAGGAGGTAGTGGAGGCACGATGGAGAAGAAGTTGTCGCGGCGGAGGGCCAAGGACTCCGGGCGAAGGTGGAGCTGAAGATGATCTTAGCCTAGGAGCCATGGTGCAAGACCGTTTTCTGATTTGGAGATGTCTTTTACGGTGGCTAGGGATTTTTGGTAAAGTTAGAGAGAAGGCAGAGAACTTTCTCTCTCTACGTTATTCATTCCTCATAACAGTTGTTATTGGAGAATCCTCTAATAGTATGTGTTTTTTTTACCAATTAATATCGGAATTTTCCGATGGAACCCTCATCCATACAATAAAACCAATACTTGTGCAAGGTATATGCATTCATCTGTATATATGTTGTATAGGTATGGCATCAACTTGTGCAAACTTTGTGCTAATTGTGACACATTCAGACACATAAAAACATCTTACTGATATCCCAAATGAAAAATAAAATCAGGAGTTGAAATACATATTCAACACAATAAGGTCCCAGACTCAAAATTAAGAAAATAATCTTAAAAAATATATTATAGAATATATTATGAAGACATTGGATCAAACCACTACTACCATCTTCTCCAGAGACATGACAAAGAAAAAGACCAAGTGGACGTGACATGTTCTCGTTAGAGAAGAACGACAGGACCAAGAAAGGGAGAAAAACAAGTTTTTTTCTTGCCTGAAATGGGATTCAAAGAACATCCGAATTGTCTGAACAAGAAGAAGCTCGCGGTTTATACGATCTTAGCGATTCTACTCATTGCTCTGTTTCGCTTCTGGTTTTACTATCCATTTTCCGCCATTGATGGAATTCCTCTCGAAGATTCTGCTCACACCGTGATCAGCAGCTACTCTTCTTCTTCCCCAGGTAAAAAAACAAAACAAACAAATGAACATTGGTATCTTGTTTCTTTGATTCAAAAGACTGAAACTCGAAGATGGAAACTTGCGCATAAAACACTCTGTTTGGTTTCAAATTTGTCGACAGAAGAAGAAACTCGAGAATCTGTCGGACAAAACAACGACCCTTTATGCGATTACACAGATGGCAAATGGGTCAAGGACGAGACGGGTCCACTCTACCTCGGCACGACGTGTGGAACAATCAAGGATGGTCAGAACTGCGTCCACGCGCCATGGCCGAACTGATTCTGGATATCTTTACTGGAGATAGAAACCGAACCGATGCGACATCCCGAGGTTCGACCCGACCCGATTCCTCGATCTTCTGAGAGACAGATACTTGGCTTTTGTCGGGGACTCGATGGCCAGAAACCAGCTCGAGTCCCTGCTCTGTATGCTCTCTACCTTCTCTGTTCCCAATCTCATCTACAGAAACGGAGAAGACAACAAGTTCCGAAAATGGCGTTTCGAATCCCATAACGTCACCATCTCTGTTTACTGGTCGCCGTTTCTGGCCGCGGGTAAGGAGAAATCGGCCGAGTCTGGGTTAGACCACAACGTCCTTTATCTGGACCGTGTGGACAAAAACTGGGCCAAGGATTTGGAACAGATCGATACGGTTGTGTTATCCGTAGGACACTGGTTTCTCCACCCGGCCATGTATTTCGAGTCTGGCTCTGTTTTGGGCTGCCATTCTTGCTCTGCAAGTAACTGTACAGAAATAGGGTTTTTCCAAGTGTTCCGAAAGGCCATAAGAACGACGCTGAAGGCCGTGGCCGGAGATCGCGGCCGCGACGTGATATTGACGACGTTCTCTCCATCATATTTCGAGGGTCGGCCTTGGGATAGCCTCGGCGCGTGCAACATGACGGAGCCTTACGAGGGGAAGGTTCTAGAAGGAATGGACGCGGATATGAGAAAGATAGAGATAGAAGAAGTGGCGTCGGCAAACGCAGACGCAAACGCAAACGCAAACGCGGAGGCGTTGGACGTGACGGGGCTGTCGATATTGAGGCCGGACGGACATCCGGGACCGTACATGTACGAGTTTCCGTTCAGGAACGGAGTGCCGGAGAGAGTTCATAATGATTGTCTCCACTGGTGTTTGCCTGGTCCCGTTGACACGTGGAATGAGATCTTGCTGGAGGTCCTGCGGCGGCGATGGAGGGAAGATTCGGTGAAGAACATGATCATGTCTTGATGACCATGATTGCGGAAGTCATCGTACTTTTATGTAATCATGTTCATAATCCCATATAGAAAGAAAAAAAAGGTAAACAGTTTTTATTAGTTTTAGATCAAAATTCAAATGCATGGCCGGAGGAAAAATAATCACAAATGTATTATTCTTATTAAGACTGATTGTTTAATGACAAAAATGTGTTTCTTTTATAATATATAGTGATGGTGAGGCAATGAGGATGATGTGCATCTTTGTTGGGTTGTCTTTGGGGATGAGAATGATGAACCACATAAAACGTACGGATCTGTTGTGTCTGATGAAAAAGAAAGAGACAATCTTGTCTTTGTTACAAGATTTTCTTGAACAAAGGAATCTTAACATATTTTTTCAGAACCAGAAAAAAAAAAGAAATATTCCCTTTTGCCAGCTGTATATCCAGCCGGCCCAACTATTTACATAATGATCTAAATGCGTATACACAAAATATCAACGAGAATACCGCAGAAGGAGGTGCGTTTGTTAAATTTAAAATAAAGCTCCCCCTATATTCAAGGCCAGAGTCCTTTGTTAAAATTTTCTGTAAGAGATTCTGGAAATTCGCGTTATAATTGGCGCTTTCAAACCCTCCAGACGGTCTAGAGGGTTCTGAATGGCAAGTGCATCGTTTGGAATTTGGATATTATCGGTTTTCAGTTATTTTATCCATTTCGGAGCATCCCACAACAAAGACTAAATTCTGAGCATTCTGTGTCCATGGCGGCCGTATGTTTCCCCTCGGTTCTCTCCGTTGACCCTCAGAAAACGAATCAAGCTCCGTCATTTGGTCTCTCGTCTTCCTTTCCCAGAAACCCTTTGTTATTTTCCTGCAAATCTCACCGTTCCAATCTCAAAGTCGCCTTTTTATCTTCCTCGCATCCTTCGCCTCCTTCTTCTCCAACTGCCACAGAAACCGAAAGCTACACGTTTCTCGAGGATTCGTTTCGTACGGGGAGGTTTCTGAGCAACGAGGAGCTCGAGAAACTGAAAACGCTCGAGGGTTTTGCGTATTTTCAGGAGCTGGAATCCGGTTCGATGTGGGTTCGTGTCATGAGACCGGAGGAGATGGACCCGACGGTGAATCTTCTGGCGGAGTCCTTCTCCGATTCGATGCTGTTTCCTTCTGGATACGAGTCTGTGTTGCGGTTCCTGGTGAAGCAGTATCTGACTGAGAGGAGAGGCGTGATGCCCCACGCAGTCACGCTTGTTGGGTTCTATAGGAGGAAACCCGACGCTTGCGGCGATGGAGACGGAGGAGGAGAGGCGGAGGAGCTGGCTGGGACCGTGGAGGTTTGTTTCGACAGAAGAGGAGCTAACGCTTCGCCTCCCTCACCGATTCCTCCCAAGGATTCACCTTACGTCTGCAACATGACTGTGAAAAAGCCTCTTAGAAGGTGCGTCCTTCCTTCCCCCTAAACATTTTGATAGTTTACAATCGTTAAATTATGCTGGGGAGGCGTATAGTTTCAAGCTGTTGATTGCTGTACAGTAGTTTACACCGTCGGTCCGGCGGACATGTTTGGTCTCCATACGAAAGTTTGATCTTTTTCTGTAGAACGAAAGCTAATTGTGTTTGTGTGATGATTCTTTAGGAGGGGAATTGGTTGGCATCTTTTGAAGGCGAGCGAGGAGCTGATATCTCAGATGAGTTCTTCAAAAGATGTCTACTTGCATTGCAGGATGATCGACTTGGCTCCTTTCCATATGTACAGGAAAGCAGGATACGAGGTTGTTAAGACAGATAATATTTTGGTCCTCTTGACGTTACAGAGGCGTAAGCATTTGATGTGCAAGAAGCTTCCTCTGTGCATGGACACCTCAGAATCAGTACAAATGGTGGCTGCTGATAGTGAGCTGTCTTGATCCAGCATTTGTATAAAAATTGGGTAATGATCAAATATTGGGTGTGCTTTTCATGAACTGGGGCTGAAAATGGACGATGCTAATCGTAACGTAAAACACGTTGTGTTGCATTCTGTAGGATCGAAAACGTAACCTTAAACCTCTATTTGAGCTTTTCAACTTGCTAAGTCCATGGTGGAGCTGATCTCTGTACAGGTATGCTTCTGATCTTCACCAAACCATAGTTTAAATGGAAGCTTTAGCTTTTGTTTTCTGCTCCAATTTTATTGGTTGCGATTCTCTTGCTTATTCGTATATTTCTGATTGAATCTTGAAGGAGTAGAATAGAACAAAAGAACAGAGGGAAGGGTTCCATTGTCTGAAATACATCAAATTTGTATACACACTTCTCTTCAAGCAAAACAATCTTTGAAGAAATACAGCAAAAACCATAGAATGAACTGTGTTGTTTGACTCATACATCACTATTTTATACATTCAAATATAAATCCGTTTGATAAAGTTTAACAGCTGGCAGCCAATCAAATGTCTCTTTTTTTATAATTAAGATTGCCCTGTTCATATTTATTGAACTTGTATGTTTAAGCTATCATGTTGGAAAAAGATACGATCCATATCAATGTATGTGAAGAACTTTGCTTTTTCTAGTGCCGTCTGAATGTAGGAATCGTCCCACCCAAACCACTCTTAGAGTTTGAGCAGATAATTGCTAGTTGCAATTCCTTTATACAATCCATCATCGAGGGTCGCTCACTGCTTTCAATACGAATGCAGCGAGATGCTAGGTCAGCAAACATAGCTACAGCTTCCATGTTGTATGAATTCCGTGGTAGTTCTGGATCTATAACCTTCCTCAGTTTCTTCCGGTCATTCAGTATATTCCTAACCTGATACATATAGAAAAAAAGAATTAGTTTATTCCGGTAGTTACTTCTTGATCTGTTGAACTTTGAGGTACTCACAGTATCTTTAGCTTCGTCATGTTTTGTAGTGGTGGAAATGCTGATTCCGGTCCGCTTAAGTCACTGATCCTCCTGAAATATTTCGAGTAACAAACGCGCTCTTCGGCCGGTAAGTAGCTCTAGCAGTACAACTCCAAATGCATAAACATCACTCTGTAGAGTAAGTTTACCTGTCTGTCATGACAAAAAGTATAAACTGTCTATACTGAGCACCTTTCTTGCTTTATCAATTCTGAAACGTTGGATTGGAGTTTTCCTTGCTTTATCACTAACTTGTGTCTATTGCACCCTTTGCCATCTTTTCCTCATTTAACAGTAAAGAGTCATGTAAAAGAATCTTTACCGATGTGTATTCTGGGTCAAAGTAGCCAAATGTTCCTAGAACTCTTGCAGTGACATAAGTCTCCTTCCCTTCTGGCATTAATTTTGCTAGTCCGAAGTCGGATATCTGCAAAATGGGGTACAATCATGTCTGAGTTTTGACATATTTTTTGAGCGTAGATTCTAGCTTAGTGTTCCTAAGAATCCTGAAAAAGTCGATCCAGAGAATGGTAAGTGAAACCGAAAAAGAAAATCTCGTTACCGAATTATGTCAACTCGCCAAGTAAGTGTATACATCTTCCAAGTCTCACTCACAGTATCTTTAGCTTCGTCATGTTTTGTAGTGGTGGAAATGCTGATTCCGGTCCGCTTAAGTCACTGATCCTCCTGAAATATTTCGAGTAACAAACGCGCTCTTCGGCCGGTAAGTAGCTCTAGCAGTACAACTCCAAATGCATAAACATCACTCTGTAGAGTAAGTTTACCTGTCTGTCATGACAAAAAGTATAAACTGTCTATACTGAGCACCTTTCTTGCTTTATCAATTCTGAAACGTTGGATTGGAGTTTTCCTTGCTTTATCACTAACTTGTGTCTATTGCACCCTTTGCCATCTTTTCCTCATTTAACAGTAAAGAGTCATGTAAAAGAATCTTTACCGATGTGTATTCTGGGTCAAAGTAGCCAAATGTTCCTAGAACTCTTGCAGTGACATAAGTCTCCTTCCCTTCTGGCATTAATTTTGCTAGTCCGAAGTCGGATATCTGCAAAATGGGGTACAATCATGTCTGAGTTTTGACATATTTTTTGAGCGTAGATTCTAGCTTAGTGTTATGCATCATTGTTTTAATTAGTTACCTTTGGATTAAAGTTGGAATCCAGTAGAACATTGGTGGATTTGAAATCTCTATGGACAATAGGAATCCCAACAGCAGAACTTGAATGGAGATAAGCGAGTCCCTTTGCGGCTCCAAGGGCAATTTTGAGCCGTATAGGCCAGCTCATCTTTGCTTTCCCGATCCCTGTGATAGGTTTTTGCAATTTGTTGGTCCAAAACAAACAAATCGACCCAATAAATCATCATTCTTACACATTAAAACTAACCATTCAAGTGATCTTGCAGGTTTCCATTTTGCATGAATTCATATACTAGGAACCGGTGCTTTCCATCTGCACAATACCCTATTAACGAGACCAGATTCAGATGATCGAGTCTGCTCAGGATATCCACTTCCACACGGAACTCACGTTCTCCCTCGGCCTCTTTAAATGGTGGTAGATCCATTTTCTTGATTGCAACAACCTCCAGATGGAAAAAGGATTAACCAATTTGTATGTTATACTCATCTTTCACAATTTAACTTTCCTAGATTGTTTACAACATTATGAGACTTGGATGCAATAGCAGAAAATAGTTCTTACCTCCCCTGATTTTAGAGTACCCCTGTAAACTCTACCAAAGCCTCCTTTTCCAAGCAGATTCTCATCACTGAAGGAACATGTGGCCTCCTCCATTTCCTTGAGGGTGAAAACCGATGAGCCATGTTTCCGTTTCCTTGTTGGCTGGGGCTCTTGGTCTTCTATTTTCCAGAACTCTGCTGGTCTATTCACCCCTGAAAGGTTAGTTTCACAGAAAATTCAGTTTCACCAGGGACTTGTTTTGGAAATGGGTCGACATTTTGATTTGTTTCAGTGATATAAGTGGAAAAAAGAAAACAGGAATGAACATTACTTTTACGCCATCGAGTGAAGAGGATGGAGAAAAGAAACATACACAGATCCGTGTCATAGGACTTGCTTCTCCGCCTCTTGTTCCATGCTGAAACCAGATGAAATGGCATTTTTGCAATAGAAATCCTACACTTTTTATGTATTGTAGGTGCAAGAGACCATCCAAAGCCTGGAAAGAAAAAAAAGAAGAAGCTTCTCGGACTCAGGACAGAAGGGTATGTCGGGAAAAGCTTCTGATCGCTGTTAGGACAGATGGGTATGTCGAAAGATCCGAGCTTTGTAGACGGGTACGTAACTTCGTCTAAAGAAACAGAGAAGGTTGTATGGTAAAGGTGAGAGTTATAGGAAGTTGTTTCCAGTCTCTTATCCGTATGAATAAGTTTTGAGGTTTGATTTCTGAAATACTCAACAGCAGTCTTTCAACTACCGGAGTTTGTAGAGACAGAAAAAGATGGTCGAGCAGAAAGATTGTTAAGATCATATGTACATGAAGTGAAGCAAAAGACAACGAGACAACAATACTTCGATGTTTAACTTACATGTCTTTTTTTTTTGTTTCAAATTTTGAGCAAGACTTGAATTTTGATGGTTAACTCTTATGGTTATATTATAAGGTTTCAATTTTCTGGTTTGAACTTGTTCGCTTTACAAGTATGTTCCCATTTATGGGTGTGCGTGTACAAAGCGACATGAACGTTGAGATGCCGTTTTCATTAGGTTTTCTTCCGCTTTTCGCTTCAATTTTTTCCCTCTATGCCATATTTACATGTAGAAATTTATAATTTGTCATTTGTAAAAGAAAACTCCCCCCTTTATGTGATTTTTTTTCCAAATCGTATAATCCATTTGATGACAATATTCTCGGGCAAGCTTCAATTATATATATAACTGATTTTAAATTTTGATCAGAATTGATTAAACTTTCTCATACATCTTACTATTTTTTTAACCGACGTCTATAATGCAAGATTTCGTGAGGTTCACTAAGTTATTACTAATTTTGAATTAGATATAAAAAAAAAATTATTGCAAGGCTCTAGTATTTCTTAAAAATTAAAATACGGAAGAAAAAAATATAAAATCGTTTATTATTATATCTCTTATTTTTATTATTTTATAATAAAAACAAGTTATGTATTTATAGAAAACAATATCAAAATAATTAAAAAAAATTTGCAAAGAAAGAATATATGATGTAAACAAATATATTAAGAAATAATTGACACAATTCATCCCATTTTTTAATTGATTTTGTATCTTTAATCTCCCTCAATCATCTCCATAATCACTTGCAATCAATTTAAATAATCTTCTTAAAAATATATTTGTTTCCTCATTTTAACAGTATTCATTACATAAAAAATTGTCGGATCCATGTGGTCCGATTGTTTTGTCTGACCGATATTATTTGTTTAAATCGTTACATGTACCATCTAAAATTGTAACACAAAAAAGATATTTTTTATATGAATTTAGCAAAATATGACTTTTTTATACACGTATTTTTTAATTTGACAAAAAAACTACACTTGAATTCGAAATTTCTCAAATATCTACACGAATTGTTAAAATTAACAGTAATTACATATATAATCATCATTTTCGTTAAAAATTTTCGGATTCTGTTAATAAATGCATTAGTTAGGTAATTACTCTAACTACCATATACGTCAATGCATTAGTTAACAGAATTCGAAAATTTTTAACGAAAATGATGATTATATATGTAATTACTTTTAATTTTAACAATTCATGTAGACGTTTGAAAAATTTTGAATTCAAATATAGTTTTTTGTCAAATTAAAAATATATGTATAAAAAAGTCACATTTTGCTAAATTCGTATAGAAAAATATTATTTTAAAAAAAAATAATCAAATTGATGGGTTGACTATTGATGCATGCAAATCAGCAAATGGACAAACATATACCAAAAGTAGCTTTAAATAAAAATAAATTATAATGCTATTTTCAAATTAAACTTTACTTAAGTACTAACGACTTTTATAAAAGAACTAAAAAAGCGTTTAGAATTATGGCGAAGTCATTATTATAATTTATTTTTGGTTAGTTTTATTTTTAGTTCGCTTTCCTAACTTTGTGACAGTGATGTTTGCTTACAAACTCCTCACCGTCGGCCCGTCGGTTTGGTTTTAACGTCAAAGTGCAGTATCATATCATTCCATATGAAAAATACAAAACAAACAACGTCACTCTCTTTTCTAGAAACTTGTTTGTCGCTTTGGTTTTAGGATGGTAGAGTGATTGCCGTTTTTAAACCGCCCGAGAACAGCATGCCGTTTTTCCTATTCAGAAGTATCGTGGTAAGATTGTATATCAATGGGCCTATTCGATTTGCAAATATTGGACTGTATATATGGCCTTTAAAACATTTTAGGCCCATTAAGAGTCTCCCGTAATTTTTTTTGGAATGTTTTTTAAAACTTTCTAAAAAATAGGTATATGTCTTAGAACCATTTTGATACAATTATTGTAAATTTTGCCTCAATATTCTAAAATATGAAAAATATTGTACATGTAGTTTAACGTATATATGATAATAGCAGGCCATTGTCACATCCAAAATATGCAATTCAATAAATGGTCATACTATCTTGTAATTTTTGTTTTTTAATTTACTTCCGCCGAACTGATATAATGATTAGATTATAGTCCATATAAAATTACGTTAAGCCATTTTTATTAATATTCTTAATATGTAGCAGAGGTAAAATTTAGAAGATTTCTAAGACGTATACTGAATTAGATCAAATATTTATAACAATTTCGGTTAAAAAATTAAATTTTAAATACATTCAGAAAAAAAAAAAGCATGCAGGAGAGAGAGAGAGAGAGAGAGAGAGAAGAGAGGCATAAACTTGAGTAGGGTTTCCATGAAACGGCAGGCTGCACTCTGCGCTGAAGCACACGGGGCTCCTGAAATGAGCATTGGGCTCCACGAACAAAATGTAAAAAATCCACAAGGTAGGTGACCTAAACCAACCATTGGAGCAATTAATTATGGGATTAATCTTTTAATCTAGCGTAATTTCCTTTTTCTTTCCCTTGCATGTAAGAGCAGGAACGGTAGCTCTGGCTGTGCCAAATCTGTTTCTCAGATGCAAATTGTGCTGATTTTCATGCCACATTCCCGACTGGAAAGCGATTGGATTTGCTGGGTTCCACAAAATATCGCTCCTTTTTTTTATCTTGTATGGCGGCTTTTGAATGAATCTGAGATTGCGAAGTGATGGTGTCTCTGCTCTTCATGTCCTGAGAACCATGCCTCGGATTATTCCTCGATTTCAGCTCAAAAACAGTAACTTGATCCGAAACTCGTACTCTTCTTCTTCTGCTCCTCCCCCTGTTTATGTTCGGAATCCCCCTTCGTCTTCTGGTGGTAGAACAAGCGCTATTGTTCTGTTCATCATCGTTCTCCTGGCCGTTGTCTTCTTCGTCTGCGGTGTTCTTCATTTGGTCGTGAGATTCGTCATAAAGAAAAGGTCGAGTCTTTCATCTTCTGCGCCGGATTCCGACCAAAACGACTCGGGGGCTTTCCAGAGACAGCTGCAGCATCTGTTTCATCTTCATGATTCGGGCCTTGACCAGGCAGTGATCGATGCCCTCCCCGTGTTCCTCTACAAGGAGATTATGGGTTCGAAAGAGCCGTTCGATTGCGCTGTCTGCCTCTGTGAGTTCTCAGAGGACGACAAGCTGAGATTGCTCCCGTTGTGTAGCCACGCTTTCCACATTGATTGTATTGACACATGGTTGCTCTCTAACTCAACCTGTCCACTCTGCAGAGGAACCCTTCTCGCACCAGGTGACCAATTTGAGAACCCAGATTTCAATTTCAGATTTTTCGCAGGAGAAGATGGGGTTTCGGGACGAGCGATGGGAGTTGGGGTTTCTCCTGGTCGGAAACCGGCAGAGAATGAGATTATCAGTGGAAAGAGGGTGTTTTCAGTTAGGCTGGGGAAATTCAGAAGCACCAACGCTGAAGGAGAGACGAGTGGGTGTCTGAATAGCAATTTGGATGACAGAAGATGTTTCTCGATGGGGTCTTATCAGTACATAGTGGCTGAATCTGATCTGGTCGTGGCATTGTGTCCCAATGGAGGTGTGAAAGGGGAAAACTCAAACTGTTGTGCTGAAGGAGACAGTGTTGAGGGGAAGAAGATAAACATGAGAAGTAAAGGCGAGAGCTTCTCAGTGTCAAAGATATGGCAGTGGTCAAACAAGAAATCAAAATTCCCAAACCCATCAGTTTCTCATCTGGGTTCTTCTTCTGCTACTGCATCCGGTACTGTTGTCGGGTTGCCGTTCAATGGAAGGAGATTTCAGGGTCCATGAAAGGTACACAGCTCGAAAGGCTAATTCTGTTATTCATTGATTTGATTTTTGTCTGTCCTGTTTTCATGTTATCAGCATAAGACCGCAGTCCTTTGTTCTCTCCAGCTGAACAGATAGATAGATAGATTACCTGTTTGTGGGAATAAGCTTGTTCTTTGGTGTCATAGATGATCTGCAGTTCTACTACAATGTTTCAGTTTTGAATCCCATCTCTAGCTGTAAACTAGACACTCGTACCTGAATAAGCTTGGTTTTTTATATTTACGGATATATACGGATATCTCGTTCTGAAACTCGAACTCAAACCCGTTAAAGTCATTTAGCCATTTGTCGGGTATCCGTGAGGCCGGGTACCCGCGGATCACGTGACGTCCAGGCCTACATAAAATCTGTGAAACATTCATCAAATAATGCTGGCTGGAACTTGGATGAACCCTAAACAAAAGTAGATTGTTTTGGGGATTAAAGTAATGAAATGCATTTGCTTTTGTTTTCTGGCAATCTCTCGCCTGGAATATGTTTTGGTGGGGCGTATGATTAATGATGAATCATGATTAGAGTTACAGAAAAAAGTGCATTTGAGTGCATACTTAAAATTTGGTCACAATTCATTTGTTGAAAGAAAGAAAATAATCATCAATGGCATATTCCACAACTCTGATCCCATAACTGTGATCTTGAACTTATTTGAATATAATAAAATCAAAATGCGCAACATGCACAAAGATCCTAACAGAGTTGGCTTACAGATCTGAAGCAGGATGGCCATGGACACTGTCATAGTATGATGCATGCATGGTCTCCCTCTTTGTAGGCCCATTTAGATGATGGACCCATAGGATGAGCCCGTAATGAGCCTATGGTTTTCACATATTGGCCCAAAATATATTAGTTACAAGTGTCATGCATGTATGTCTTTTCTATATGCATGCATACGTGAAATGTCTTCCCACGTGTCTTTTTGAACGTGGCATGCTTGCAAAATGAGCCAAGATGCTACAGAATCGAAAAATTCTGTATCATTTTTTAATTGAAATTTTACAAAATTAACGATAATTTTTTTAAAAACTAAATTTTTTTAAAAGCGAATCGAAACAAACCGAATTTTAAAAAAGAAAACCGAAAATTTGTAAAAAATCAAACTTTTTTTTTATAAAAGTCGAATCGAAACAAATATAAAATAATATATATTTTTATAAAATCGAAAGAACTAAACCGAATTCGAATCGAAGTCCTAATAAATAGTTTTGGAGAAAAACTAAGCAAAACCTAGCGTGTGGAAAACTATATATATCAAGTTCAAACTATTGTATCAATATTACCAAAAAAAATTAAAAATGAAACGGAAACTTGGAACCTCCCATGATTCTCAATCATTTCTTACCCTGAAAACCTGTAAAATAAGATTCTCTCTCTACCATCGCATACCATAAAAGATAACCTCTCACTACACGACAAAACCCTACAGATTCACCGATGTGGTTTGGTCTTGTCTCTAGACCGCACGAAATTAACAAATTTTCATTTTAATCTTTTTTTTTACCAAAATCAAATAAATTTCACTCTTTCGTTTTGGTATTCAGCTGTTTTGAGTCGAGTTACATACTAATTCTGATGTTTGCGTTCCCGTTTCATGTATGAACAGTGAATCCTGATGTAGACACACAATTGTTCAGGTTTTTTTTTTCTTGTGGACCAAAAGTTCCAAGACAGCACCCTAATTAAAACCAAAATAAAAAAGATTTTACGAAAATGATGTAATGGAATTTACACTCCTAATGTAGAATTAGAGAGGTGTTTTCGTATCAATATGTATCTAATTTTAGTCTGCATATATATATATATATATATATATCACATGCATTACGATTAGTCTAATTAAATTACTCGACCAATAATGGGTTTTTTTGTAATGTCTTTTAGAAAAAGCTGAGGAATACCGAATTTAGAATGCGCATGCTTTCAATTTTAGAAAGGTGTATGAACAATGGGTAATGACCAAAAGTCAGATCGCTTTCACAAGGAAATTACGGAAGGCTCGGACCAATGAGAAATCGACAACTCGACAGCTTACCTTTCAGACATTCATGTTTAGGAAATAGAAAATCCCAACCACTTTAATCCATACTATAACCCAACAGTCCATTCGGCGCCTTTGCAATCGCATCACGAAAAGTGTCGTCCATTGATAAGATCTGGTGATTTCACGGACTATGCGCGGGTATTTTTGTGAATTTGTTTTATTCATCTTTAATAATTTAAAAGCTTAATAGAGATAGATGTACTTGCGACGCGACGTTAAAAATTGAAAGTAGAGGGTTTATATATACATATAAGGGGAATGAGGTGGTGAAAACTCTTATCGTTTTGATAATTACCTGTTTATAAAATATATTTTTACCTCGAAGTCATGAACTTTCGAATACAATATCAAGTATTGGGTGTTGCTCAAATATGGATAATTAAACCGGGTGATACATGCTACAAAGCGTTTTATCGTTCCGAATTCGAATTTTAAATTTAAAAAGTTAGCGTATATTCTAAATCAAATAGCTGGTTTCGCCCGCATCTTAGTCCTAAACATTCGGTTATAAAAAAATAATTGTGTTCGTTTATTTTAATTAACTAACCCGTGTAAATATTAATTAATTTGTACTCACTAGTTTATACAAAGTTAAATATTCACATTTGTCGTGTTGTGCTCCACCGAATGGCGAATCCATGGCACATGGAACTTGTAGTGACATGAAAACAGACCTACATGTCTTTCGTATTTATAACCTATATCTAATGATTAGATATTACGTTTTCCATCAAGGGATTTGCTCATTTTTTTCAGTTATTTTTCTATCTAACACAAAATATACATCCAATACTCAGCACTTTTAGTATTAAGAGATACGGAAAAAATTTGAAAAGATTACGTAATATTTAGATTTTATTTTATTTCTATATTCTAGATATTTAAATTTATTAAATAAGATATTTTATGTTTTCGTTTTGTGTCTATAAATATTGTAATTTTCTATGTTGAATAATGAGAAATCCAAACGACTCTCCACTCTTTTCTCTGTTATGGTATCAGAACCTGTACGACTAAACATCGTAAGGATCTCTTCTAAACTCCGGGTTTAGTTCCTTCGATTGGAAAACTCCGATCGTCGATTCGTGTATTTGCACCACATTTCTTCTTCTTTTTCCGGTTTTAATCGCGCGCATTTGCGCAATTTATTTTCTTTTTCCGGCATAGCCGCTAAACCATCGCGCCTTTTGCACCACCGACATTGTTGTCGGGCTATACCAAAATATCATGCATGTGCACCACGTTTCTGCGTCACATCGGACTTTTCAGATCCACCAACAATCCACTAATTCCTATATTCGATTATTAAATCTCGCTATTTTATTGAGAATTCAACCTCAAACAGTTGTTTCTCATCTCCTTGAATTTAAGGAGACGTATTAAGAGATATGGAGAAGATTCGAGAAGATTACGTAATATTTAGATTTGATTTTATTTATATATTCTATATATTTATATTGATTAAATAATATATGTTGTGATTTTATTTTCTGCCTATAAATATTGTAATTCTCTATGTTGAATAATGAGAAATCCAAATGATTCTCCACCATTTTTTCTATTACGTAGTAGATGAGACTAGGACGAGAGAAACAAGAGGACAGTAATGAAAAGGTGACAAAGTTAATTTAAGGTCCTAAGTTCGATTTTATAGATGAATAGAAGAGACGTAGTTAATTGTTGTGAGACCGTGAAAATTAAGTGGATAAGAGATCCAATAAACCTCCTAGTTATTAAAAAAACAAAAAAAAATATGGTCATAATTAAAGTACACTTCAACTTCTTCTATTTAACGGTAATTGATAGTTGGGTGTTATTTTTTTTTTGTAGAGAAAATACTAACAATGGAGGAAGAAAAACAGGGAAGCATATTCAGGAGAATATGTGTATTCTGCGGAAGCAGCTCGGGCCGTAGAAAAGTGTTTAGCGAGGCTGCTATCGAGCTCGGCGATGAATTTGTGAAGAGGAAGATAGAGCTGGTGTACGGAGGGGGAAGCGTAGGGTTGATGGGGCTCATATCCAAGAGGGTCCACGAAGGTGGATGCAATGTCATCGGGTGGGTTTCTTTTCTCAAATTTAGACCTTATATCATACCTTCCTTTAACAAGATTTGATTAGGGTTTTGTGTATATATAAATTCAGGGTGATTCCGAGAGCCCTAACGCCAAACGAGATATGTGGCGAGACCGTCGGAGAAGAAAGAGTGGTGGAAGGCATGCACGAGCGTAAAGCATCCATGCAACGTGAAGCGGAAGCGTTCATAGCTCTACCGGGAGGATACGGAACGATGGAGGAGTTGCTGGAGATGATAACGTGGGTTCAGCTCGGCATCCATAACAAAACCGTCGGCGTCTTGAACGTCGATGGGTATTACGACAAGTTGCTCGCACTCTTCGACAACTTTCTCGAAGAAGGTTTCATCAAACCTTGTGCTCGTGGCATCGTTATCACTGCCCCTACGGCCAAAGAACTTCTCCTGAAGATGGAGCGATATGCTCATGATTCCATAAGCACGTAGCCCATATTCATACATATTTTCTCCTTCTTTATTTTGTGATTTAGATCTTCAAGTGTATGATATCGATCGAGGAAAGAATGCCATTGCCTTATCTATCATGTCTAGGGGTTTTCTTTGGTTTTCATCAATGTAACATATATAATTTCAGCGTGAATCTGTGTTGATATGCTTTCTTCAAAAATAATCTTGTATTTTTTTTAATGCTATTTGTGTTTTAATTTTGATTTTAGTTTGTTTTTAAGTGGTATAAATATTATATCTATTTTTTTTTTGCTTATAAATAGAACGATTGAGGATTTGTGGGATTTGTTCTAGATTGTCTGATGTCTTTTAGATTATTTTTCTCTCTATATAAATACTTATCAAACTTATGGAATAAAATATTATCTTCTCTCTTAGACTACGATGTTAGAAATTTCCAATGGATCGAAACATTACAAATATTGGGTTTTAATCAGAACCCCAAAAAAAAAATATTTCGTATCATAGGAGATGAAAGGACAAAAGAGAATACTAAACTTTGGCCCCTTTCATTTAAAAAAAAAAAAAAAACTTTGGCCCCAATTCTATTCATAAACTTCATCCCAAATTATACAATCATAGAAATAATGGAAAAAAAAAAACAGAAAAATATGCAAAACAAATGAACGTGTAAACGTGCTTGGTCCAAGTTGGCTGCCACAACGCCATAGGACTCGGACTTTAGAAAACGGAAACAAAACAATACAATGAATTTAAATAAAATTATTGTCGGTCCAAAAAAAACAAGATTATTTTCCTAACATGCGATTCTTTCTTTTCCATCCCTCTCTTCTGTGCAATATTTTCTTCTTCCGTTAACCCTTTTTTTTACAATAGAATAACGATGTTCGGATATTTTGCATCATTTTTGTTTTTTATATTATGATTTTTTTTCACATTAACCTGATTAAAACATACGTGGATTATACGTAACCTTCATTACAGGTTAACCAATGTGAAACAATTAATCAATCAATTATTTACTTGGAAAACTTTTGGGGCTACAAGAGATTGACATTTTTTTTAATGGTATTGATAATGAACGGCACGAAATATGTTGGCCGGAAAAATCGCCATTTTCAAACCTTGTTAGCTAACCACATCCGTCGAAATAACCTATGCTTACAATATTTATAAATTCCATAGATATACAAATTTTGACTGGAAAACCTAAGATCCACGAGCTTGATGTCTGATGAATTCAAGGCATAGTTCGTTTAAATATTTCATATTTTTGTCGGCTATAGTGGGTGAAAAATCTAAACAGATTTTGTACGGTAGACAATATATTATAGAAAATTTAAACAAAAAATATATTATAGAAAAAAACAGATAATAAAACAAGTACAAAGTTTTGTTTCATCCGAAAACATATTTATTACAAATCTGTCCAATTTTTTTGTTATATATGAATAATTTCTTTGCATGCTATATGTACTGTACAGTACTGGTTAAAAGTATATGCAAAATCATGAATATAATTTGGTTTTTAGTAATGTAACTTTACGGATATGATTCCATAATTATGTTTAAAAACTATACAAAATGACAAATATAGTACACTTTCACTATTTTATTAAATTAATTAATATATGTACAGTATCAATTAAAAGTATATAAAAAAATAATGAATATAATTTGGTTTTTAGTAACGTAACTTTGCGGATATGATTTCCATAACTATATGTTTAAAAACTATACAAAATGACAAATATAGTTTACTTCCACTCTTTTATTAATCAATTAATATATGGTGTTTTCTTGTCCAGTTACAGTATTCGCTTCTATCATCTACATTTTCCGGGACAAAATTGGATTTAACATAGAATATCTGTCTTAATAAACATTCAACGATTCCGAACAATCTAACCATAAACTCTGGTATACTACATACATGCATGCATGCATGCATACATACATACATAAATACATGATATATATAGATATGTGTATATATATAGATATGTGTATATGTATATCAATACGAATTGTAATAGAAATACCTCAGGAAGCAAACACCAAAATTTGGGCTTTTTCTCATTCACATTTTGGAAGGCATAGATTAATATCCTGTAGCGAAAAGCTAAAAAAATTTGCATGTACAGAAGAGAGGAGAGAAGAGAAAAAGACGGAAATACCCCTTCAGACACGGTAGATCATGCCGACCTCCAACGTGGACGTGTGAGGTGCGGTGTGCGCAAGCGTGGGGCCTCTGCTGTTCTTACGGAGGAACTCGTAAGCTACGTTAATGGCGATTCTCTTTACGAGACCAGACCCTTGCTTTGCCTTCATGTACGCATTCCCCATTATATAAGCCACTCCTGCTTCACGCGCCTCCGTCAACTCCTCCAGCTCCTGCCTCGTCTCCATCTCCATCTTCGGGCTATCAGGCACCACGAATCTCACCTTCTTCTTCTTCTTCTTCTTCTTCTTGGTCGTCTCCGATGGCGGCGGCGATAATATCTCTCTCATTTCCGACGTTCCGGCATCGTCGTCGTCCTCGCTCATATGAACGCCTTGCGGGTGAGTGGAACTTGTTCCCACCACCGCCATCCTGTCTCCGTCCCCGTCGTAGACACCGTCGGTCTTGGTTTCGGTCATGGCCTCGGAACGGACGAACTCGGCAATGCTGCAGACGAGGTCGCGTTCGAACTCGATGTCGTCCTTGTGCACGTCCCGGTACCCGTACCGGACGATGCAACGGTACATTCGGAAGTGACGTGGACCGATGCGGCCGACGAGGAACCGTTCCTCGGGCCGGACGCGCGGGACAGGGACGGACTTGACGCAGAGGAAAACAAGCACCTGGTGAAAGGCTGGGAGGTTGGTGACGAAATGGGAGAAGATGGCCGGGACGCCCGAGACGAGCTCAGTGTGGATGAGACCGATGCCACGCACACGGGCGATCCCAAGGCTCAGGCCGAGGCCGATAAGCCAGTCGACCGATACCTTGTTCTGGACGTCAAACTCGTATCGTTTTAGGGTTCCATAGTGCCAAACGGACATGACGAGGACGAAGACAAAGGCAAGGGCGATCGGGACCCATGCCCCTTCGAAGAACTTGATAAGCGAGGCCGAGAAGTAGAGAGCCTCGATTGTCCCGAAGAAGACGACAAAGGCAAAGGCAAAGAGGACACTCTTGTGCCAGCAGAGGACAATCACCAGAGACATTAGACACGTCGTAACGATCATGACAGTTATAACCGCCAGACCTGTTTCAGTTAAACGTTATCACGGCTTGTAAAATGAATCGAATGGCGTTGATGATATGGTTCGTTTGTTACCTGAGGCGTTACCCATCCGCCTGGTGTCTCGGAAACCGATTGTGACGGCCAAACACAAGAGCATCAAGATCCAGTTGATCTCGGGGATGTAAATCTGACCGTGGATCTTGGACGACGTGTGAACGATCTTAACTTTGGGGAAGAAGCCGAGGGCCGAGCACTGTTTTATGATCGAGAAAGTTCCCGTGATTATGGCTTGACTCCCCACCACCGCCGCCAGTATGGCTATCACCAGAACCGGCCATCTTAATCTCTCTGCATTATGAACAACATTACACAGTTTTTGTCTTTTCAAATTTTCGATTAAACCTCAAACCCTAAACTGGATAGGTGGAAGTACCTGGAACAGAGACGTAAAATCCGACGCTGTAGTCGTTTTCAAGATCGTGGTGCCGGGAGAGGTACGCTGCTTGTCCCATGTACGCAAGAATCAGGGAAGGGTAAACGAGAAACGTAAAAGCAATCTGCAACAAGAAATGATCATCAAAATCGATCACACGAATTGAGAAAAAACTATATCATCAAGATTAAGTTACCCGACCTTGATTGACAACTGGGAAAAGTGACCAAGGTCCGCAAACATAGCCTCGGAGCCTGCAAAAGATAGAAACCCGGGTTAAGGTTTTCTTCCGGGAAAACCCCTAAAAAGACGGGTCTAACTGTCTGAATTCGGACAAAAGCAAGACCTGTTATGCAGAGCAAGATCCCACCGAGAGACATCCAACCACCTCGTTGAGTCTTTTTCAAGAACTTGAACATGTAATAAGGAGAGAGAGCTCTGTAGACATGGGGGTTCCAGTGAACAATGTTGTAAAGGCCGATGGAACTGATGCAGAGAAGCCATATCAGAACCACAGGTGCAAACATGAACCCGACCCTGTGTGTTCCGTAATGCTGAATCGCGAACAAGAATATCAATACAATGCAAGCCACCGGGACTACTACATCTGCAGGAAAAAAAAATGGGAATTTATTTGGAAAAAAAAAAACAGAAGAAAATGATACGAATGAGAATGTTCAGTCCGATTTTTCACTGAAAAGATTACGATTTCGATCTCAGAAAGGTGAAAACTTTCAAGCCCGAGTGTTCCTAAACCACGAAAACTCTGCTACGAAGACATAAACACTGGTTCCTGACCATAACGGTTGACACAGAGAATTCAACAATTGCAGAATGTATAAGAACAAGAATGGTTAAAATTATCAGACATTTCACGATTTTAACTATCTACAACTGCAAGCTAACTTTCAAAGAAGAGTCAAAATGCTTATTCGAGAAATGGGCATGCGACCACAAATCAAGCAACCCAACGGAGAGTCTGGACAAGAATTGACAAAGGACATGGATTTCAGACAGTACATAAACCAATCAAGACTGTCTTTTCTCGAGCACGGTCTTGCTACACAGAGAGAGATAAGATAATCAAAAGAACTCACATTTGTGATGCTCCTTCGACATGGAAAGCTCAACTCCTGAAACTGCAGAGAAAACTGCAAGCACACAAGATCGAACAGAGTAAATAGGCAAAGCCAGTGGTCTTGGATACGGTCTGAAGAAGGAACAACAGATCAATGATTACCAGAGATAGCCGGCGTTAGGACACCATCACCAATCACCATACAAGTCCCAATCAAAGCCAGGACCAGCAAAATCCTCTGCAACACCTCGTGTTTCTCCAGTGTAGACTTCAGACCGGCTCCGAATCCCGATTTGGGCCCCGACCCGATCAAGTCCTTCTTGTACTCGGTGAGCTCTTCGTCGGCCAACTGGCGATTCGGGAGCGAGTTGACTCGCGCGTGTCGACAAAGGAGCGAGTAGAGAGCGAAAGTCCCTCCCTCGCCATTATCGTCGGCTCTGAGGACAATGAACACGTACTTGAGGAGAGGGATCACAGTTATGGTCCAGAAGACGAAAGACAACACGCCGAAGATCTCTTCGTTTGTCTCCGAGTGATGAATATCCTCTGCGAAAGTGCTCTTGTACACGTACAAAGGGGAAGTACTCAAATCTCCATAGACAACCCCCAGGCTCTGATACGCTAATGTCAATACAGTTCTCCATGATTCTCTCTGCGATATCACAAAATCCAACCAAAAGGGTCTTTGCTTATCGTCGTGTGGACTGAATCGATAATAACGAGGAACACGACCCGAGGCTGCCCAAAGGGCGAACATTTTCGGAATCCCCTGGCGTGAAATAAGGAATCGTTGATCGAGGCAACGACCCGAATCGATCTCAAACCAAGAAATGATAATTACTACTTACCTTGACGGTATTCTGGTAATTTCCGGGTTCCAAATCCATGGTGGGCAGAGTCAGGAACAGGAGAAGTCCACTAATCTCTGCAAAACCGGGAGAGAGAATCAACTCATACCCTCCACAGAAACTGACAGATTCGGGCAATCGAGGAAAAGATTGTCTCAATGCGATTTGAGAACAAAAAACAACAAAAAGTTATGTAATTGCTTATATGTGTTTCTACTCAAACAGACAGTGGAACAGCCAAGAATAATATAATTTGGGGGGAGGGGGGGGAGGACAGGAACCGGGAAGAAAAAGACGAGAAACCCCGAGAAAACAGTACAGGAGAACAAACAGAAGATTTTTGCGCACAGGCTCCGGAAGTCGGACGAGAAAGGCGAGTTTTTTAAGAGGAACAGAGAGAGATTTACCTCTTGGATATCGTAATTTCCAAGCGTTGAATGACAGTTTCGAGTGGCTCAGCAGATTCCTTTCGGCCTTTGGGGAGAGAAAACAGTCGTCCACTTACACATATAAATACATACATATATCTGTGTGTATATATGCGTGTGTGCATATATATAGTATGTGCTGGATTGAGATTTCGATATAGAAAGTATCGGTCGAAATCCGAGATAAGCATTGGTTGAAATCTGAGATGCCATATTCTGATCAGAATGTTACAAGTTATAATCTGAAATATATAAATTTTTATCTGTCACACCATTGATAAGCGGGATGTCGATTCGTATAATTAAAGCTTTTATATAAAGTGAATTATCAGATGGCTTTTCCAAACTTGCAAAATATAATAAATAAATGAATAAAAGAAGGATATATGAAGTGAATTATTAGACCCGCATCCTTGTGAATTTGGTAACCTATCAATATACTACGGAGCATGAACACTGTGCCGTCGTATCTGAGATTCTCACACTTTGTCAATTCAGATATGGTGCCGTTTATAGTCTGTTTATTGACCTAGTCATTGTATTTAATATAAATTTTTTTAGAATCTTCTTAATATTTTAAAGTTATAAATTTTGTATAAAAATTATATTAATTTTAAAATAAAATCTCATAAAATATACTCAATTCACAAAATATATTAAAAAAATATAAACTTTTAACTCGACAAATAAATGTATCAAATATTAAAATATACTAAAAAAATATTCTAATTCATGTAATTAAAAATACTTTTTTACACATTGATGGCGTCGTTAAGATCCGAATATAAAATTGTTTCGAATAAAGACCCATAAGATTCGTTTAAAATTCATATATATAAGATTATCATATTTATAAATTGAGATATACTGTCATTTATAGTCCGTGCAAATCAAACAAGTAATGGATTCTTTTTGTTTTTATTGATATAGTCATTATAATTCATGTAATTTATTTTCGAATCGTCTTAATATTTTAAAATTATATGCTTTATATACAAAATTAATTCATAAATATATATATTATAAATTTTACATAAAAATATATTAAATTTAAATTTAAATTTTAGAAATCTTTAAACTTAATTTTATCAAAAACAATATAAAAAATATTACAATGCAATCATACTATAGTTAAAGAAAATGGTATAAATATGTTAATAAATCATTTAAATACATGAATCAATATGATACATGAATGAATGCGATGAATTTGAATCTGTTTTGGAAGTTAAATAGAAAATTAGGATAACAAACAGGTAACAAATCTTACTAATTAATATTTTAACTAGTCTAAATATTTTCAATCTATAATGGTATATATATATACTATTTCTATAATAAACATAGATAAAAATAATCATAAATTTATAACTTCAAATATAGTAAATTTAAAAATAATTTCTTTTAGAATATTTAATTTAAATATATATTAAGTTTATTTTTATAAAAAAATAACAATTCATTTAAAATTAAAAATAAGTATGAATTATTCTTTTTATATAAAAGTTAGGTATAAAATGTTGAGCCATGTACGAAGGTACACAGATCTTTAATTTTTATATGTTTATCAACGTTTAAAAACGTAAGAAACAGCGAAATATATTTAGTTTGATAAGCTAAGGGTATTTGAGATTTATTATGATTATTAATTAAATAAGTCCAAATTATATCCACGAGTTTTTCATTTGTATTATGCTTTGGGCGCTAGAAGGCTCCGGAAATGATGATGGTGACGATATTTTGTTTTTAGTTATGCATTATAATAATGGTGCTTACTGATTGATTAATTAATTAACATCTGTCTGTAGCTTTCAAATGTTTTTTTTTTCTTCCGACTGAAATGTTTGTAATGGATGGTGACAAAAGCAGACACATGGGCCTTCTTTCTTCGTCCATGTTTTCCACTCTCACGTTTGTGACATCAAAATCCAACAAATATGGACATGGAATGCATCTGTACTTGTTTGCGTCTTTATCCTGTTTGCGTCTTTATCCATATACATATATATATATATATATATGTATGTATGTATCAAAGTATGAGTGCTATATATGTGTATATAAGGATGATTTGAATAAATTCTCCGGACATTCCCTAATATTATAGGTTAATATTGGACGATGCGTTGAAATTAATTACTTGGACAGTTTGTCCACGTGGAATTACATGGAGAGAGATGTAAATTATTTGAATCGGATTCAGATGGCGTGGGCTATTACACGTTCCATCATGCATGCAATAACAGAAGCGGTCTCCATTTCTGGAGAATATCAACCAATCATCCCAATAATTGTCAGATATGTATTGTTCTTTCTTGTATACGATATATATATATATATATATATATATATATATGTATATATGCCACGGCGTGATATTTAGATATTTTCCTATTCTATAAATTCTCATTTATACTTTTTTTTTAGTAATATATTGTATATGATCCCTCATTATCTTGGTATTTTATTTGTAATAATAGGTTTTAATGCACCAAATCAATCTTCTAACCAAGTATTCACCTTTCATTTTAATAATGCATCATGCTATTACAATCTCTAGTACTCAGAAATATATTATCATGCACTAAATTGCTAATATAATCGGAGGCCGGTTTAAACATCGGTCAACGGTTAACGAGTAATCGCGGAATTTGTAATCAATTTGGATAAGACAAAAGGGAAACAATATATTACATGTTAGGTGATAGTTCTGTTGTCGCTGTCTCATCGAATTTACGTGACTCGAATACGATATTATACATATATATATATATATATATACACGGCAGCAAAAATATATTATAGCGATTATGATTACGTTACGTAACAATCCATTTTTGTTTGTATCCGATGACGTAATTATCTGATGGAAATAGCTTATTCAATTTAATATAATAAATATGTGGGACAGTGTGACTTTTTGTACAAGTAAACGACTTTGTCTTTTGTTTTAGCCAATGCACTAAATGTGGACACAAAGAAATCATAATATGTGATTTCTAGTTAATAATCATTTAACAGACGAGCAACATGATTTCTAGTTAATATATGAGTTCTATGAGATTATACACGCACGTGTGTGTAACAAGTTTGCAAACTTATTTTGTTGTAAAAATATATTACAAACATGGGATTAGTAATGATAAAAATGTTCGTTGCTAAGCTCCGTGGTGACTTTTACACGTGTGTGGAAAGGTCAACGTATGGTGACAATCTTTGTCGTGTCTGAACTGGTGATGATGTAATCATGTAAGCCCAAATTATTTTTGTTTTATTGAGGCCCATCAATTTTTTTTCGAATCATTTTTTTATGTTATTGGTCGGCCCCACCTTTTTTTCCGGTCGTGACTCACTACCCACTCGACTTTCTATTATATATGTAATTAACAAGTCCCGTTTAGCAAGAATTATAGAAGGTTACAGCACGAGATTTAATGTGGGTATGTATAGCTTTCAGAATTTTCGATATTAAAACTTTGTTCGGTATGATAATTTTGTTTCAAATTTAAATCAAACAGATGCCCAGTTTTATATAAAATAATACCCATTTATCTATTTTTGTTTTTGTTGGCTAAAAAGTTATTTCGTCTGATGGCCGGAAATGTGGGCCCAAAATTAAAAGACGTAAAAGGCCCATATGTTAACAATACGCAGTACGTCCTAAAATGAAATCAAAATGGAAAAGTAAAAGATTTGGGCTGGAAGTTAAGAGAAATGTGGGTTAATTTAGTCATGGCCCAATCATCCACGGTACACCAAATACCCACCTGATTTTATAAAAATAATTTTTTTTTAATGTATTTTATGCTCAAATAAAACATATCCATGTATAATTAATTAAAATATGCCGACAAAAGAGAAGGAATAGAGCCTTAACTCAAACAAACCAGGGTTCCAAGTCGGAACATCAAAGTGAAAGCTCATGTCTATGCCTAAGCGGAACTAATCCGAACCTGGAATTGCAGAATATCAAAGGTACAGAATAGAGCAGAAGTAGCCGCAGAACATCTTCGAAACAATCTTGAGAGAGAGAGAGAATCTTATGAGTGTGATCACTAATGGAGATCATTCAGTCAAAAGCCATAGAACATGGTGAGAACAACGTGACAGTTCTCTACAAATCATTCAACTTTTATTCGAAAAGGCACATGGAAAATATGAAAGGAAAGACAGACAGGAATCGAAGAAGCAATCTTTTCTACTTGGCTTTCGAGTCGATTACCTTCTTCGCAAAAGAAGGCAAGCAGAATGCGGCTGAATGAAGCTGTCCAAGCAAAAATCAATCAATACAGACTCAGAGAGAAACCAAAGCTCAAGATTTCACTTGGGTGGGAATCTTTATTCATTCATTACCTCGGAGTTGTAGAACTTCAAGGGTCCTTTAGATTTAAGATGGGTCTCATCAGCGTCAATCGGGTTCACTGGGTGTTTGAAATCGACATGAGGGCCCTCGGTTGAACACAGCATGAATCCAATGACTCCACTGCCAGAAGAAACAGATCTCTCATCATAATAAGAAAGTCATGTTCTTGGCCAGGCCCAGACATGGGGGGATATATATATATATATATATGATATTTATTAACCTGGGGTAAGTTGGAACAGTGGTCCAAGCGTAATTGACAGAGCCCTTGAAGATTTCACGGCAGTTTGATACGATGTCTTCGATGATGTGCATGTGAAGCCACATGCTTTCAGCCTGAGTACACACCACCCCGCCTGGTCGAAGAGCTCTTGCCACCGTTTCAAAGAAGGGTTTCTCAAATAGCTCTTTCGCAGGACCTGGTCACATTCATTTCCCACAAGTTTTAATCGATTTTGAAAACTCTGACTCGATCCCAACAGCTAGATTCCGCTTTTAAGTTTTACCTATAGGATCCGATGAATCCACAATGATTGCATCATAGCTTCCTTCAGCTGCATTCTTCAAGAATGCAACTCCTGCAAAAAAAAAATTGTTATTCCATTCTCCGTTTCAAATGCAAGGACATAATTGGTTTGGTTGTCCTGAGAGAGGAAAATTTAGCAATTTATACCGTCACCGACATGAAGGTTCACCCGAGGATCCTCATACCCAACTGCTACATGAGGGAAAAACTCCTTAGACACCTGGAGAGTCCCAGACAGTATAAGCAAATTAGACTACTGAAGGTCCATTTATTCAGATTACAAAGACGTTTCATGGAAACAGAGGAAACAAGGCAGATGAGAAAAGTGTGTGACCACTCACGTCAACCACCATTTTATCGATTTCACAGATGTCAATCTGCTCAACTGAGGAATGACGTGACACTTCCCGTAGAACACCACCGTCTCCCCCTCCAATGACCAAGACCTGAAGAAATGCATTCGGCAGAAACCGACCTGGCTTGTCATTTAACTTTCTACAGAAAATACAGCTAGAATTTGGTTCATTTATTTTACTAGAAGCCAAAATGCGTAGAATTTAACTTTCTTGGAAGCAGAAGCAAGTTTTACATATGAAAAGCAAGAGACTCTCAAATTATCTACCTTTTTTCCAAACGGACACTCTACCACAACCCTAGAAGATAATCATCATTCATCATTGCAAACTTAAAGTTTCTATGATGATATCCAATAAATGAACTTCGATTGTTCTGCAATTTCCAAAGAGAAACGGCATGCAATTTTTTTTTTATATTTTAGGAAGATAAGAAATAAAACTTGTATCTCTAAAAAGCAAGAAACTTTGATTATGTCCAAAACTCAACTTTCGTAGAAACAGAATCAACTTGTACATTCGAGATATGAAACCTTCATTATCTGCTTTTTTTTTCTCTCCTCAAATACATAATCCGACCACCACCCTGGAAGATAATCATTAATCCCCACCGACAAATGTTCTCTCATCACATCCGATCAAGGAACTATGATTGCTTCACTTACCAGTTGCAAATATTCAATAAGCTCTGCTTTTTCAGAAGCTAACAAAGTTTTTTTTTTTAAAAAAAAAGTGAACTTTCTTGGGATTTTACAAGCAAGAGACTCTGATTATCTTCCACATCATTAGATATATCTATAATCTATCCTTTACAAATGAACGAGAACACAGTTATATATATATATATATATTGCTCGAGCTTTGTTGGTTCAGAAAGGATTACCTTCTTGGGGTTAGGGATTGAGCACAAGGGAAGATGGCTAATCATTTCCTGATACGCACATTCGTCTCTCTCTGTGAGCTGAATCACTCCATCCAAAACCAAAACCTTCCCATACGTAGCGGACTGCACGAATAACAGATAAGAGAAGTCCTTAATCTTCATACTTGAATCAAAGCGAGAGATTTCAGATAAAAAAATTTGATTTAAACAAGAAGGTAGGACATGCAATGCAACTAACAAGCGTCAAATGCTAATACCTGAAAAACCATCACTTGTTGGTAATCCGATTTTCCCTCAAACAAAATCTTCTCCACCTTCAAGGAGTGTGCCTCCCCTGAAGCATTATAGACATTAATAAAATGAGATTTTCCTTCAGGTGCAGAGACGATCAGATCAACGAGAACTGCGCCGTTTCATTGAGCAAAAAGACGAAGAACTGTGCTGTTTTCCCAGTAGCCAAACAGCCTAAACAAGAAAAACGAAGATAAACCAACCCGGCCACATCGGACTCATCTCGGAGAACCATCCAGGGATAACAGTGGATACACCGCTAGGATCTTTGCGTTCTCCACCATTATCGGCGGCAGCAGAGTTCTCCGTCTCCATGGAAACGGCGTTTGCATCGGCGCCGTTATCCTCGTCCTCTCTCGGCCTCTTCACCGGCAAATCAGTAACGGAAGCTTCTTGCGCCGCCATGGATGCCCCGCCGAAACCTCCCCGAAAGCAAGCCCAAGACTTAAACCTCCGAAGAGAGAGAGAGTGTGTGTGTTTGTGGCGAAGATTAGGGTTTTTTATCTGACGTGTTTCGTGTGAAACCGGAAGATATAGAGAGGGTAACTAAGAGGCAGTGGTACGATTGTGAGTTTTGTGGAATTTTAATTTATAATTAATTTGGCGATGTTAAATCAATAATAATAATCCGACAACACTGCGTATGAATAGTTTTAATCACACGTCGTCGGTAATTGTTGTACTTTCTCTGCTCATTTACTGCGAATATATGAATTTTTATGCCACTAAAGTTTATAAAGCAAACTCAATTATTGCTGTACCTGCTCCTTTCGTATAATATGGAATTTCGCATATAAATATATTTTTTTCAAAATAAGCTAGTTTTATTTAAATCCTTTTATTGTTTTTTTATTCGAGGGTAATCTGCGACATATCAAGGAGATTTAATTTTTTTTTTAAAAAAAATCGAAGAGCATCTTTCTTTTTGGAGAGAATCCTCCAAAAAAGAATTACCAATAACAAAAAAAAAAGTGATAAGGTTGGAGTTTTCGAATTTGAGATATTTTTTGGGCTTTTGAATAATGGGCCCCTTTAATAAAACAAAAAACAAAAGAGAGAATAAAGTTAATAACATAAAAAAAATGAAAATTAAAATAAATGCCAAAAATCTTTTAGGGATATTGATTTATCGAACATCTTTTTTTAAAAGGCGGAAACATCCCACTTGCATCGAGATTCTCCTTTTTGTTTCTCTGCAAAAACGCGTATTGCTCGAGAATAAAATGGACTCATGCTGACAGAATATTTTATTGATATAATTTAAGATAATTCTATACATTGAGAAAACAAAACATAATTTTATTAGACAAAATTGCATTTAGTGTTTATAATTCATGATATTGATATATATACATGTGTGTGTGCGCGCGAGCGCAGATATGAACAATTCCTTTTTTTTTTTATGAAAGACACGAACAATTCCTTAATTTGCCCACCAACTTATTTTTGTCAAGATGTATTCTTTTTTTGCTGATAACTTTGTAATATTTTTGTAGTTTTCTTTATATATTCAATTTTTCACCTGTACTCTATATCTAAAAAAATGCAAAACAATACAAGTGACAGAAGAGTCCTTGCCTCTATCGTTATAAATTTATATCATTCTAATGTATAAAACATAAACTGATATGTTATATTATTCCACATCCATTTCATGGTATTGTACGTTGAATAGAAAAATGGCGTATAATTATAATGTAAATGATTTATTATGTCATTTCTAATGGATGAAAGGAATGACCGTTCACTACAAAAATACATCGCATATGCGACGGACGTATCCGTCGCACCGCGAACACATATCCGTCGCAACAGATATTTTGCGACGGGTCACGACGGGCACAAATCCGTCGGTACAGAGCTGTCGCAAATTTGTTTCAGTCGGTTTCACCGTCGCAAATTTACGACGGACATTTCCGTCGGTATATTACCGACGGAAATAAACCGTCGTAGACCGTCGCGTTTATGTTTGTCGCACATTGCGACGGAATTATCCGTAGCAAGTTACCGACGGCAGATATCCGTCGTTTATGCGTCGCTTTATTAATTTTCGAACGTAACGACGGATTCCGACGGAGTTGGTCCGTAGCAAGTTACCGACGGCAGATATCCGTCGTGTATGCGTCGCATTATTAATTTTCGAACGTAACGACGGATTACGACGGAGTTGCATCCGTCGCAAACTTTGTAAAAATAATTAAAAAATAAAAAATTTGTTATTAATTTAAAGATTTTAAAAATCAATTATTAAAACAAATTCATAAATAAAAATACGAATTAATTAAAAACAAAAAAAGATTCATATTTAAAAAAAAAGTATAATACAATAATTTAGAAAGAGTTATAATACAAATACATCTACGGATCTACCGGTGCATCGTTGTCGAGATTGGTGGGTGCGTCCTCTGGATCATCCTCACGAGCATCTGGCTGCCGAGATGTCGTCGGAAAGCCATACTGGTCGAATATAGGCGGCATGAACGGTGTGAGGCGCTGCATCATCTCCTCGAAGCGTACGATCCTCGCTTCGGTCTCGGAGAGCTTCTGTAGCTTCTCCCGATGTTGCTCGAACTCTTCGATCTTCGCCCGGGCCTCTGCCAGTTCTGCATTCGTCCGCTCTTGGGAGCGTTTCAACTCTTCCACTTGACGCGTTAGCGCGACATGGTGAGTAATCGCCGGAGCAGAAGTTTCTCCCCCGCCCAGTTGAGATGCCAAGGTGCCGATACCATAGATACGGCCCTTGGCATCCGGATGGACAACCTATACAACGAAAGAAAAATTAGCATACAATCATATATTTTTAAAATTCAGAACTATTAATTTTATAAATATTTACCTCTAGATATAGGCTGTTAACTTCGGTTGTCGAGAGTTGTGTAGAAGCAGTACTCTCGTCCATCTGGGAGACTTTATCGTCGATCTTGGACTGCACCAACTCCTCGATCTCCTGGACCCGCTCATTCACATATGTACCGTCCGATCGACGGTGTGTCTCCTGAAGAACTCGTAGAACCGACGGACATTGCCGTCGAACGATGTTGTCCATGTTCATATGTATGAAATAAATATCCTCTCGTAGAGAACATTGGCCAACATTTGACCAGCCGAATGGGACCTTGAACTAACTCGTGTAACCACAATGGATGATCTTCTTGCAATGATTCAATCTGTAAAAAAAAATCAAGCAACAATTTGGCATGTGGTTAGTGTTCTTCCATATGCGATATTATTTAATTAATTACGTACAAATTCTTTTAACCAGGTTGCGAATCCGTTCTCTTTAATCTGGCTTAACTGATCATCGTTTACATCACCGTACGTATTGAATACCTGATCATCAAAAATCCTACAAAAAACCACAAGACAAGTTATAAAAGTTTAACTATCCATGGAACCCAAAAATAAATACGTATATACGCACCTTTCGAACGGTAGAACTTCTTCACAGTTCAACAAAACATACGTGTGGACCACATGGTAATCTTTGTCCGATAAATGTGCATCGATTTCTCGACCACCACATCGTCCTTTTCTGTAGAAACATTTCCAGAGTCGCTGGAGGGACACGAGTGATACTGAACCAAGGACCCTGAAAATCACTCTTGAAGATGCTCACAATTGTCTTCCGTATCTCGGCATGACAACCGAACCTTTGCGAGTATATAAATATACTTAGTTATATAACTGTAAACGTTAATATAAAATTTAGAAATGAATTGTTACAATGTTCCTTACCATAAAGTACCGTTGGTTCGCTCTGGGCTAAGATGCGGTCTCGTCGTACGACGATCCTCGGATGCGAGGATTTCCCTGAGTGATACTGATGAATCACGCGAACAACCTTCATGTGAAGGTTGCTGTGTGGATTGACCCGTGAAAGGTTGATCCAAACGAGGTGTGGGTATTGGGGGCTGCTGAGAAGTAGGGGTAGAAGGGCTAGAAACACCGGATCCTCGTCCGCGAGATCGGACTCCGCTACCCGATCTACTCCCGGAACGTGACTGACTCATCTACATATAGAAATTCTAAACCCTTTAAACCGTAAACCCTAAAATCAGAAACCCTAAACCCCAAACAACCCCTAAAACCTAAACCCTAAACCCCAAACAACCCCTAAACCCTAAACCCCAAACGAAACCCTAAACCCCAAATGAAACCATAATCCCTAAATTGATAATTGGAACCCTAATACCGAATTTAAACCATAATATGTGACCCTAAACCCTAAAATCAGAAACCCTAAATCCCAAACGAAACCCTAAACCCCAAACGAAACCCTAAATCATAAACCCTAAATCTGAAATCCTAAACCCCAAATGAAACCATAATCCCATCGAAACAATCCAAAACACACTAAACCCTTAAACCGTAAATCCTAAAATCAGAAACCCTAAACCCCAAATGAAACCATAATCCCATCGAAACAATCCAAAACATCGCAAAATCACTCCATAATTCGCCGAAATTCATCCACAAAAGCCGAAAATTTTCGGATCTTAGAATTTTCGCACAAATCTCGTCGAAACCCTAAACCCCAAGCTTCAGCGAATCATCACCAAGGGAGAGAAGGAGAGAGGAAAGACTTACCTCGCACGGCGTCGGACAGGTTGTCTTGGACGGTGGGTGGCCGGAAATCGCACCGATTGCCGGAAATCGCAGGGAGAGATTCTGTTTTCGCGTCGAGGCGGAGAAGAAAGAAGAGGAATCCCGATATGTATTACAAATTGCGACGGAACTTAACCGTCGGCAACCGTCGCAAATGTTTGAACACGTGGCAATTAGCGACGGAGTATCTTATTTAACGACGGAATCTATCCGTCGCACATGGATATTAAAATTTTCAAAAAATTCGCGAAAATTTCACAAATAAAGGGCGGTAAAATACCGACGGCTACCGACGGATAATATCCGTCGCAAAATAAAAAAATAATTAAAAAAAAATTAAAATAAAAATACACACATTACATAATTAATCAAATGAACCATAAGATGATGTCTCCGTTGTTTCGGGATTGGTGTCACTGCTCTCGCCTTCTTCATCGAGGTTTCCAATTTCTAGTTCTTCAACTATCCCTTGTTCCACTGCTAGCCTCTCCACATCAATTGTTTCTGCGACTGCTGCAACCGTGTGCTCTTCCTGTAGCGGGGTTTGTTCCACTGATCCATCATATGTAATGGTCCCTCTTGGATTAATCTTGATAACGGCCTTCCAATCGATGTCACTTCTTCGCGTTTTATCTCTTGGATAAGGGATAAAACATACCTGATCTGCTTGGGATGCCAGTATAAAAGGATCATATTTTCTATATCGACGGGAGTAACAAATATCAGTGATCCCTGATTTGTTGATCCGTATTCCGCGTCCTGGCGTCGGATCAAACCAATCACATCGGAAAATCATCACTTTCAGTCCAATATGACCCGGGTATTGTACTTGGAAAATTTGCTGAAGAATGCCATGGAAATCTGGTTCATCATCCGAAGCACAATAACTCGAGCCTTTCACACATATACCATAATTTGCCGTCGAACGATGTTGTCCATGTTCATATGTATGAAATAAATATCCTCTCGTAGAGAACATTGGCCAACATTTGACCAGCCGAATGGGACCTTGAACTAACTCGTGTAACCACAATGGATGATCTTCTTGCGATGATTCAATCTGTAAAAAAAAAAATCAAGCAACAATTTGGCATGTGGTTAGTGTTCTTCCATATGCGATATTATTTAATTAATTACGTACAAATTCTTTTAACCAGGTTGCGAATCCGTTCTCTTTAATCTGGCTTAACTGATCATCGTTTACATCACCGTACGTATTGAATACCTGATCATCAAAAATCCTACAAAAAACCACAAGACAAGTTATAAAAGTTTAACTATCCATGGAACCCAAAAATAAATACGTATATACGCACCTTTCGAACGGTAGAACTTCTTCACAGTTCAACAAAATATACGTGTGGACCACATGGTAATCTTTGTCCGATAAATGTGCATCGATTTCTCGACCACCACATCGTCCTTTTCTGTAGAAACATTGCGGAATATCCATGACAACATTACCGTACTCCGGTCCATCTACGGTGTCAAATGGTCTGTTTGGTTGTTTATTCTTTTTTTGCACTTGATCTTCAAAATAATACGAGGTGAAGAATGATATTTCTTCGTTTATATATTGCTCTGCAATGCTTCCTTCAACAAACGCCTTTTGTTTCGCTTTTTGCTTCAAGTGGTACATAAACCGCTCAAACGGGTACATCCATCTACAACAATTACACAATAAATCTACGTTTCCATTCAAATACATAATTAAAATCATATAGACAATATTAATGTATATACGTACCTAAACTGACCCGGACCGCCGAGTTCCGCTTCTCGTGGCAGATGAACTGGCAGATGTTCCATCACATCAAAAAAAGATGGTGGGAATATCTTCTCTAAATTGCACAAAATTAGAACAATATTTTGCTTCATCAACTGGACGTCTTCATTTTTCAATGTCCGACTACAGATTTCCCGGAAAAAGTTACTAATTCATACGGTTCAAAAACATGAGGTTATAAATACAATATCAACATATAACTAAATCACACGTGTAAAGATCTTAAGTAATATTAAAATCGCTACGACGAAACAAAACATACCTGATATAGCTTGGTTGACATGTTCCGGAAGTATCTCTGCAAACGCAATAGGTAACAATCGTTGCATGAAGACGTGACAATCATTTACAATGTTCCTTACCATAAAGTACCGTTGGTTCGCTCTGGGCTAAGATGCGGTCTCGTCGTACGACGATCCTCGGATGCGAGGATTTCCCTGAGTGATACTGATGAATCACGCGAACAACCTTCATGTGAAGGTTGCTGTGTGGATTGACCCGTGAAAGGTTGATCCAAACGAGGTGTGGGTATTGGGGGCTGCTGAGAAGTAGGGGTAGAAGGGCTAGAAACACCGGATCCTCGTCCAATATGGCAATTCCCAAAATATACTCTTCTTATGCCAGTTGTGATAATCACCATATCCTTCAATCGGTAAATGACCGTTACCACCAACCACTGATGTAGTAGATAATCCATGTGACCGAACACATTCTTCGATTCGTTCAAGTAAAATTTCATTCCCGGTATGTTCAAGTGGCGCAGAATCAACAACAACTATATTTGTTCGAAAATTCTTCTTGTTGCGTCGTAACACGTGATTTCTTGGTAGAAAACGCCGATGGCTATCAAACCAACTCATTTTTCGTCCGTGCTGCAACCAAAATGCATCAGTTTCATCCATGCAATATGGACACGCTAGACGACCATGTGTTGTCCAACCTGACAACATAGAGTAAGCTGGAAAATCACTAATCGTCCATAAAAGAACTGCTCGAAGCAAAAAATTCTGTCTCACCGACACATCGTATGCAGTGACACCTACACTCCACAACTCATTCAACTCTTCTATCAACGGTTGAAGAAACACGTCTAAACTTCTTCTAGGATGTGTAGGTCCTTGAACCAGTACTGAGAGGAATAAAAACTCTCTACTCATGCACATTCCGGGTGGTAGGTTGTACGGTGTTAGAATCACCGGCCATACAGAGTAGTTCCGACCCGACATTCCAAATGGATTAAACCCATCTGTGCATAATGCTAGATAAACATTTCTAGCCTCTTGAGCAAAATCAGGAAATACCTGTTGGAAATGTTTCCATGCTAACCCGTCTGATGGATGATGCATTTCCCCTTCTGGAGTACAATGTTCGTCGTGCCACCTCATATGTGATGCGGTTTTCTCAGACTGATATAATCTCTTCAATCGATCTGTAATAGGCATATAAAACATTCTTTTCAATGGAATCAACTTGCCTTTTTTGGATACTTTTCGTCGTGGCCGATACCGATCCTTCCCACAGAACCGACATTGCATCAATCCTTCGTCGTCCTTCCAAAAAATCATGCAGTTGTTTTCGCAAACATCAATCTTTTTATACGGTAGCCCCAACTTCCGCATCAGACTCTTCGTCTCATAATACGATTCTGTTGCAGTATTACCTTCTGGTAGATATTGTTTGAACATCTGACTAAATCCGTCCATACATTTCTCCGGAATATTGTAATCAGTCTTCATGTTCATCAATTGTGACGACAACGACAATCTCGATAGACCTTCAATGCATCCTTCATATATTGGAGTGCTCGATGTATTAAGGATCTCGTAGAACCTTTTAGCCTCGGAATTTGGCTCTTCTTCCTCCCCGTAAGACGGTTGACCGACATTTGGAAACGCATCAAACACCATTTCTGAATACGGATTTCTTTCTCCTTGTTGAAATTCGTTTCGCTGCTCATCGATAATGACTTGATTAACTGCACCATATGAAGACGTCGTGTCCACTGTTTCTCCGTGAGCTAGCCAAACAAAATAATTGGACATGAACCCTCTTCGATATAGATGATGCCACACTTGTTGAATATACTGCCATTTCGTATTTTCACACTTCACACACGGACATGG